CACTAGCTTCTGCCACAGAAATGCGCAACACATCCTGTCGCAGTGGATTATCTCTACGACACAGAACTATATATGCAACCGCGGCAGATGGAATTTTTAACAGGTGCGCTGTTGCCTTGCCCATCCCCAGTCTTTGAGTACCTGCCATCAGACTTATAAGCCGGAATTAAACACCCCTCAGCCAGGCAATACCTCACAAGACATCAAGGACCTGTTTGCAAATTTGAACCGCAGGATGGGTGCCAGGCAGTTCTGCTCCTCCACTTCTGCTGCGTTCTTAGCTCTCTACTTCTGAGAGTTCCATTTGACAGCCTTCAGCACAACAAATTTACCCTCTGCTGGTATCTTGAACTTTTTCATTACCAATGTCTCCAGAGCATGAGCCTATTACCTATTCGAAACAGCCTTGCTGGGGAGGCTGGTAGACGCCTCAGCCTCCGTCCTCGGGCGTCTCTCATTACTGCGCGTCACAAGCCCGCACCTCCAATAACCAAGTTCCTCATCGACACCGGTTCATCGGTCAGCTCATCCCGCCTCCTCACTACCGAAGACAAGTCAAAGCTTCGCCCCTCCTTTTCAGCCTGTTCGCTGCCAGCGGTACCTCCACCATCGCCTCCTACGGCGTACGCACCTCGCCTTGAACCTCAGTCTGCCCAAGACTCTCTGCGTTGGTTATTCATGTGATAGCAGACGTCTTCCAGCCATCCGTAGTTTCGACCTCACCTTGCTGGCTCGGCGTCATTGCGACCATCTATGCACTCATCCATGAGCCTACAGCAGCACAAGATCCAGGGTTCTCATGCCAGACACACCGACACTATCCTGCACGCCTTCCAGGTTCTCTCCTGCTCGACGAATTCAAAGAACTTTTCTCACCCGAGTCTCCCTACCCCACCTACATCAATTTTCCACCACATCGAAACCAAGGACCACCAGTCTTTTCACCCTCGCCGCCTGCGCCTGAGCTCTGTACTGTGAAAGTAAAATTCAAACTTCTGCAAGACCAGCATCATTCGCCCTTCAAGGTCCCTGGGCATCGCGCCTCTTCCATGGTTCCTTGGCGAACGCACCCGGCGAGTGGAGGGGTGTGTGGCTACAGAGCCCTGAATCTCATCATAGGTGACCTGCAGGTACCTATTCGCATGTCAGGACTTTCACCACAAACTTCATAGCAGGCTATCTTCTCGAAAGATCGACTTGGAGCGTACCTTCCACAGATCCCAATGGCACCGGCAGATACCCAGAAGACAGCCATGCACTCGTTCCCGGACTCTTCGATACCTTTCATGAGTTTTGACTTACGCAATGCTTTGAACTTTTTCAGGGGTTCACATGGACCCACCTTCCCATGACCTCAGTTGCTCATCTACGTCCAACGCATCCTGTTGCACATCTTAGAAGCGCCTGCCGAGCACATACTACCTACCTTCTCCTCCAACGCCTGCAAACAACAACGATTCATCCTGCTAGAGGTGCGTCTTTGGAACCTCGTATCGATTTCCTCCGATCCCCAGGTCTCCTTGATGGCACGCCTGGCCCCTACCACAGAAGATAACTGCGATTAGGAGTTCCCCAAACCTGAAACAGCGAGAAGAAACTCCGGAATTCCTGGGTTTTAGTCCTTCTACCACCGCTTCATTGTGGCTGCCACCGTCCCTGCGCCCCTAAAACCTTCTCGGGGCCAAAAAAAGTCTCACAAAGTCTCATTGGACTCAAGGCTCTTGGCATTCACCACCACTATCAAACAGCACATCCGCCTCACCTGGCCCACCCTTTTCTTGCCGGACCACTCTCACCCAACAATTTCTGCGATGGGCGCCGTCTTACAGCAGGAGATCAACGGAATTTTCATGCCCGTTGCTTTCTTCTCACAACGGCTTCAACCACCACACCTCAAGTACAGCGCTTTTGATCGAGAACTCCTGGCCATATACCTGGCTGTCAAACATTTCCAGCACTTCCTCGAGGCCCGTCAGTTCACCATCTTCACTGATCACAAGCCCCTCGTCCACGCCTTCGCTTCAGCTTCCCAGTCACATACACCTCGTGTCCTGCGCCACTTGGCTTACATCTCGGAGTTCTCCAGCGACGTCCAACACATTAAAGGCAGCCACAACGAGATCGCCGACGCCCTCTCTCGTTGTATATCCACCATTCTTCCCTCATCTCCACCCATTGATTATGGGCAGCTAGCCGCGGCTCAAGAGAAAGACGAAGACCTGGCAGCATACAAGACATCCCCCTCAGGCCTCATACTCCAAGAACTCCCTGTTCCTGGCACAAAGATAAAATTGTGGTGCGACGTATCCTGTGGACAGCCTAGACCGTTCGTGCCTCACGTCCACCGCCGCGCTGTTTTCGACCGCATCCATGGTCTCAGCCACCCGGGTGTGCGGGCCTCCCAGCGCCTCCTCACGCAACGTGTCGTCTGGCCCGGCATCAAGTCTGATACTAAGAAATGGGCTGCCCAGTGCCTGGCCTGCCAGTCCTCCAAAATACATCGTCACATACGGGCCCCCTTACAAGCCTTTCCTATTCCCAAAGGACGTTTTCAAGTAGTACACCTCGACATCGTGGGACCTCTACCATCATCCTACGGTAGCACCTACATCTTCACCTGCATCGACCGTTTCACCAGGTGGACAGAAGCAATTCCCATGCCCAACGCTACAGCAGAGACTACTGTCCGCGCCTTCATGTCCGGTTGGGTTTCCCGTTTTGGCCCCCCCGCAACCGTAATCACTGACCGAGGAGTACAGTTTGAGTCACAACTCTGGCAGCACCTCCTACAGTTCCTCGGCACGTCTAGACAACGCACTACAGCATACCACCCTCAAGCCAACGGCATGGTAGAGCGTTTTCACCGGCAGCTGAAGGACGCACTCAAGGCACAGCACGACCCTTACAGCTGGACTGATGCGCTTCCCTTAGTGCTCCTCGGCATCCGTGCGTCACACAAGGAGGATATGGACTGTAGCCCAGCAGATCTGACACTAGGCGAGCCCCTTCGGCTACCCGGGGATTTCTCACTCCCTCCTGATCCCAACCAAACCACTCCAGCCGTTCGTCACGACTTACTCCAAAAGCTACGACAAGCAGTTTCTGCATTCAGAGCTACTGCTCCACGCCAGCCTACTCGGCGCCCTGAACACATCCCTCCTGCACTACTCACAGCTGAGTATGTTTTCGTCAGGCATGATGCTCACCGCAACCCATTACAACGCCCCTACGATGGACCCTTCCAGGTGGTTACCCGTTCAGCAAAGTTCCTGACAATTATCCGGAATGGCAGACATGACACCGTCAGCATAGACCGAGTCAAACCGGCCACCTTACCCGTCGGGCCCCCAGCCCAGCAGCACCATCAACAAACTACGCCTGCACCAGTCTACCCGCAGTTACCACCGGCAGCAACACCACGCCCACGACATTTCTGGGCACCCTCTTTTCACCCTCATGTACAACCTGCTCCTGTCATAGACCCTCCTCCTGTCATAGAACCTGAACCTGTAATAGACCTCCCTTCTATCATAGAACCTGCTCCTGTCATAGACCCTCCTCCTGTCATAGAACCTGAACCTGTAATAGACCTCCCTTCTATCATAGAACCTGCTCCTGCCATGGACCCTCCTCCTGACGCAGCCCCTGCAGCAGCAGGAGCACAACAACCATTGCTTGTACAACCTCCTCTAATCCCAAACCCTCTTTCTCCTCCTAATTCTCCCACAGGTTTTGTGTCACTAGACGGAGTTGTTACACGTAGCGGTCGAGTCGTACATACACCTGCCCGGTATGTGTTATGTGTGGGACACAACCCGGACAACATCCAGCCTCCCGCCGCGCCGGGAGGGGAGGGGGAGTATTGTAGTGGACGTCTCCCCTACAACTGCGTATCGCATTCCGACGCGCCTCCGTATCCTAGCAACCAAGCGAGAGCTGACACCAGATGGTACGGTAGCCTAGCAACGAAACTAGTCACCGGCGACTTTCTGGGTTTTCCCAACATGATTCATAGAGGACTCGCGGCTGCTGCTGGGTATATAAGCTCTGTCTCTCCATTGAGATTCATTCTGCCCATCTTCCTGAACAAGCAACACCTCCTCCAGCAAGCTCCACGCTGTCAGCATTCATTCAACCAGGAGGCCAGCAACAGGCAACATCTTCTCTAACGAAGCTCCTGCACATCTACCTCCTACAACACGCTACTCACCGAACGTCTCTACTGAGCAGCCCCTCACCACACGGCACCTCCAGCACCAGACTGTCTATCATATAACTTATATTATACAAGAAAATCACCTTAGAGTTTCCATCCATCCTGAGTGCTAGACAACATTATACCACGAATTCCTACAGAATCTTCATGATGAATACCTCAAGATAAGAAACCTTTTTTAATAAATATTGTTATAACATTGAGTTTATCTCGACTATCAAACCTGACTGTGTTGATTCGGGTGCCAATATGCACGGACAATTGAGTCGAGACAAATGTTTTGGCCAATGTATTTATGATGCAAACAAGAAATGAAAGACTGAAGACGAAGTACAGTATAATTAAGTTTGACTTACAGGTTAGTACTCACAGACTGGGAATGTCATAGTGACGAATGGTGCGTGTTGTAAGTGGGAGAGATAGAACAGACTTGATGCATTGAATGTTACAGATACTGTCACCAAGGAAGAAACATAGATATTAGAAAGTGAAGAGAAAGATCAGCTGGATGAAGGTATTGAGGAAATATTTGTTGATTTAACTTTGTTTTCTATCCTCATGAGGGGACGGACATGGATATTGTAAACGGTCTTATGGGTGACGCGAAGATACCATAGTCAAGGACATAATTATCCTGCCTTGACAAATAGTTCTCCAGTAACAATGATTTTACATGTGTTAGTAGAAACCTTGGTTAACCAATACCAGATATTATTATCAAGACAAAAGGGCACAAAGTAATGATGTGACTGACCAAATGACACAGATGATAGACAAACCTGACCTGGTAACAAAGTTGTAACAAGTACTGCCTGGACGATCCTTGCCCCATATCTTGAAAAAGCGTCCGGCTAAGTCCAACTTCAATATATCACCATCTGTAATAATAAATATATTTTATCATAATGTTTAAGTTAATCTAAACACAAACAGTGTGTTGTTGAAGACAACACACGAGACGATGAACTGAGGCAATCGCTTACATCTTCAACATTTTAAACATAAGGCAAGGACCTGCAGATCTCTTGTTTTCACTCACCCCCATACACATTATGTAATTATATTTCCCTGTGTGTGGAATATTTTCTCTCCTTCAACACATACAGTAAAACAGTCGGGTTAAAGATATGGAATTTACACTTACCAGTGGGTCTGTCCATTCTCTTGTGAAGAGTATCTTTCAGTTTCTTCCCGTATTTTTCTGGAAAAAACGAAGGTAGGATATTTAGAAAGTTTGAACAATTTAAATATTTAGAAATCTTAGGTTCTTTTATGAAAAAGGTGTATATAAAAACTGATACAAATATTTAAAATAGTAACGGAATTTTTGGTAATTAAAAAATCGTGAAAACGTTATCACATGTTAAAAGCCGCCACAGGGATATTAGGAGGAAGTGGATACCATACCAGATCTTTTCACAAGCCAGGCGGAGGTGAGCGTGTGGCGGTCGACAGGAGTGTTGTTTGCTGGCCTCCTGCACAGTGGGTCAGTAGAGGGTATCCCGCGAAGCACTAAGAAAGAAACTTAAGGTACACTCTTTTGTATTAATTTTTATCTTGTTTTCATATGGATAGATTGATCTGGGAATAATAAAAGTGAGATATGCTCCAATTCTCTCTGCTCTTGAATGATTAAGAAAATTGTAAATGAAAGTCTTATAACTTAGCCCGGCCCCAAATGAAGAGCCATGCGATAATTCTGAAAGACACTTAATGATGATAAACTAATAAATGTCCAGCTTAACATTCTAATTTATTCTGCTCTGAATTGTAATGAATTATATGTGTAAGCATTTTCATTATTGATAAGGTGCGCCAGCCAGATGGATAAGAGCTCGACACTGGTTCTTGTTCAGGGCACCTTCAGTCACCCTGCGATAAATGGATACCGAAATTTACAGTTAGGAAAATGAATGGCGGCCTCCTCTTGTAGTGAAGACTTAGTTTACAGTGCACTGTAATTGCACTTTCCCCAGTGGACAGTCATGCCTATGGGACCTATTTTTCCTCTTCTCTGTTCACTTCTAAGCCCTAATTATTGTACTTAACTTCAAGGTTGAGAATTGTTAAGGATATTAAAAATGAGGAATAAAGTGAGTTTACTAGGATTGATTATTACGGTATGAAAGTGAACTTGTTAGTTAAAACAGACAACAACTGACCTGCTAGTGGTTGGAAGTGAAGATTTGCCATCTCGAAAGACAAACTGGAAGACACAAGATAATAACAATGAAACCGAGTAAAAGAAAACGTAATAATATACTTCATTCAATTGCATCAGAGCACATTGTCAGTAAACTCAACAAAGATCTAGTTTATAAGAAGTTTGACGAGTTCCTCATAGTATTCGACTTGAGGAAATTTTGGGGGAATTCCTTTCCCACGTCGATTAATAAGCTTTTATTAATAATTATCTGGAGGTCTCCTTGGTGTGTCAGCTCAACAAACTAGAGGCATGTTCCCAATATACTTGACATTTCTGCGGATCGAGTGGAGGAATCTGCTCGCTCAACGGGTGTGAAATTTGCTGGGAAAATCATTTCCATAGCCAGAATTAAAAACAAATTCCGGCTTTGGGAAAGAGTTTTCTGAGGTTGAAAATAAAGAGCATTTTCTGAAAATGTCTTGAATAAGACGAAAGCTAAATGATTTTTTTAGGGGGGACCTGACCTGACCTTACTCAACATCGGGTGGAGGTAGGGTGGGGGATTAGTGGTTTCATATGACTGACCTGATAGAATGTCAGGTCACCCTTTCTTGGGTGAGGGAATAGTGGGTCTCATGACCTGAAAATGTCTTAAATAAACACGAAAGCTAAAATAATTTAAGAGATTGTGATAAGTATAAGTATAAATAAGCAAAGTTGTATCCCTTCAACATTACATTACATAACATTTTAATATATAGAGTGAGAAAACAGAAAGGTGTGGGTGATTAGAGAGATGGAGTGGAAACATGCACCAGTGTTGCCAAGTGATAGGCTCCTCAACAGCTGATCTTTTAATTCGCCTCCATGCAGTCACACAAGACACTCACTGACTGCTTGTTGTCTTAATTAACATTTGTGTGTGTGTGTGTGGGGGTGGGGTGTGCCTCCTTGTGGCAACACACGGTAACTGGGCGCCTCGTAGGCCCAGGCAAACAGCGATCACAAAGAAATTAGATTCCAGTTAGATTTTCAGGGCAGACGTAAGGAAAATTCCACTAAAGTACCAGATTTCAGAAGGGCAAACTTTGACAGTTTAAAGAGGCAGCTGAGAGAGGGGGTGTCGCGCTTGGCCGTGAACCTGACAGATGACACCGACCTGATAACGAGATCTGAGATTGCCGAGTTCCACGACAATTTAAATAATGAGTTACTTAATGCACAAAGGCAGAGCATACCATACAAAAAACTCAGATCAGACAACAATGACCCTAAATGGATAAATAATTATTTAAAGAACATCATTGGCCAAAGGAAGGCTATACGTAGAAGGATAAATCGTGGCGAAATTTACCTCCGGGATTATTATAGGGTATTGGCGAGTAGGGTTAAAACCGAGATAAGGAAAGCCAAGAGGAATAATGAGGTAAGGATAGCAAGGGAGGCGAAGACAAACCCCAAAGGATTCTACCAAATGTATCAAACTAAAACACGAGAAAAGATTGGACCAATACGGTCAGATACCGGCGAGCTCACTGATAACGACAGAGAAATGAGCAATAATTTGAATAAATATTTTTCAACAGTTTTCACCACCGAAAATTTAAACATGATACCCAGGGCACCGACTCTATTCAGAGATAGTGAAGAAAACAAATTAAGCGAGATGGTAGTGACTAGTAACGATGTTAGTAAGCAAATAGACAAACTAAAGCCTAATAAGTCACCAGGTCCCGATGAGATATTTGCCAGAGTATTAAAGGAATGTAAGGAAGAGCTTAGTATGCCCTTAGCAAAGTTGTTTAACATGTCCTTAAAAACAGGTGTAGTACCAGAATCCTGGAGGATAGCGAATGTAATACCGATTTTCAAGAAAGGGGATAAATCACTATCCTCTAACTACCGCCCAATCAGTCTAACATCAATAGTAGGCAAATTACTGGAAGCAATCATTTCAAACTCTATTCGAAATCACCTAGAGAAGCACCGATTGATCAATGATTCCCAGCATGGCTTCACAAGCGGACGTTCATGTCTAACTAATCTATTAACAATTGTGATGTGGTATATCTCGACTTTAGCAAAGCCTTCGACAGAGTCCCCCACGAAAGACTAATTAGAAAGGTAGAAGCACATGGCATCAAAGGTAATATCCTTAAATGGATTAGGGCGTGGTTACAGGACAGGAAACAGCGAGTGAGCATTAATGGCACTAAGTCCCATTGGAGCAACGTCACAAGTGGAGTTCCCCAAGGCTCAGTACTTGGACCATTATTATTTATTATATACATAAACGACAAAGATATCGGCATAGACAGCAACATAAGTAAATTTGCTGATGACACTAAAATAGGACGTGTTATTAAATCTGACGAGGACTCCACAAAACTACAGGAAGATCTAAAAAAATTTTTCGAATGGTCTGAAAAATGGCAGATGAAATTCAACGTGGACAAATGTAAAGTACTTAGTATAGGAGATGTAAACAGGGAAACCAGATACCAGATGAACAACGATGCCATAGAGAAATCCGACTGCGTGAGAGATTTAGGAGTAATGACAAGTAGGAACCTTAAGCCAAGTAAACAATGTGTTTTTGCTCGTAACAAGGCTAATAAAGTACTTGGGTTCATACAAAGGAGTGTTAGTTACAAGACTAGCGAGGTCATCCTAAAACTGTATCTTGCTCTTGTGAGACCACACCTGGATTACGCAGTTCAGTTCTGGTCAACGTATTACAGAATGGATATAGAATCCTTGGAAAGAATTCAGAGGAGAATGACAAGACTAATCCCGGGCATTAGGAACCTTGAGTATAGAGACAGGTTAAAGCACCTTAATTTGCACTCCTTCGAGAGATGTAGAGCGAGGGGCGACCTGATAGAGGTGTATAAGTGGAAGGCAGGGCTAAACAAAGGGGACATTACAAAGGTACTCAAACTATCCAACCAGGAGCGAACTCGTAACAATGGTTTTAAATTAGACAAATTTAGATTTCGCCGTGAAATTGGTAAACACTGGTTTGGAAACAGTAGTGGATGAATGGAACAAGTTACCAAATATCATCATTAACTCGAATACGCTGAATAGCTACAAACATAGGTTGGATGCATATATGAGCAATAGAGGTTGGGTGTAAACGGGACTGACCAGTATGGGCCAATAGGCCCGCTGCAGTTTCCTCCATTCTTATGTTCTTATGTTCTTATGTTCTTAGACCAGCAGAGGATCTTGGAGTAGCAGTGGACCGCAGAGGGGACGGCGTATAGGTCCACTGGCATGTGGACAAGTCCTGGCGCCTACCAACCATTGCCCCGCTGCCTTGCGGGTTAACCTTGGTAGGTATAGGGCTACGGACAGGGCCGGATTTACCTACTTGTGGGCCCCAGGCCAAACTCATCAGTGGGCCCCCAAATTTATAGAAATGTTTGCGTATTTCAATAATCAATATATATATATATATATATATATATATATATATATATATATATATATATATATATATATATATATATATATATATATATATATATATTACTGTAATTATTTTGCAATGGCCAAATGTCATCAAAATATTACATAATATTATAATGTAAGAAATAAGAATTTCAACACAATGTGACACATCATTACTTTTAATCAAATTAGTTCTATATCATGTACATCTTATATATGGGAATAATGAAAGAAATACAATTAACTTGAAGCATAATCAATTTTGCAAGCACATGAAGTACAGCAAACTGTGTGAATTTCAAAATAATTTCTTCCTACTTTTTTCATGGAAAATTTGTCAATGATACTGTTTGTGTCAAGGGATTGTAGGAGGCCAGATTCAATGCATAATAATGAAAGTGAGTTTAATCTGGTTTGTCCCATGGTAGACCTCAGGTGATTTTTCACCCTAGATAGAGTAGAGAATGACCTCTCTCCTTCACAATTTGTAATGGGGATGGTAAGGAAAATTCTTACCAAGATACTAATGTTTGGAAAGGCAGTTGTCAAAATACCATCTTTGGACCTCAGCAAAGTGGAGATGTTTGTCACTGACCTGTCAGATTCAGAAGACAAAATGTCTTTAAATTGCAAAAACTCATCTAGAACAGATGCTTCCAGGTCACTGGAATAGGTACTGACAACCAATTCCAGTTGGGCTTTGAGATCATCATATTTCATACTGTCATACTCCGTTAAGAAGCTAAACAGCTTCTTTATTTCTGAGTAGGCATTCACTCTGTGCTCTAATTCATTCCTAAGGCAATCTAATATGGTGTAGAAATTGTCCACCTTGAACTTCTCACGTGGATCAAGTTGAGTTTCAGTGCCAACTGATTCATCAAAGAAATGTTTTCTCTTTCTTGTTCTTTTTGTTGTCTCTGTGTAGACAGGCTCAGCAAAAGCCCTAGCCTGATCTTCTATTTCATCAAACTGACCCTGTCTCATTTCTGAGACGAAGGAGATCAAACTCTCATACAGTTTCACAACTGACAGAAGGTCGGTCTCAACTTTTTGAAGTGATAAGCTGGTTGCATTAAACCTTGTTAAGATTTTATACCATATTACAGTAAGAAGTGCTGTTTCAAATGCTTCCATTTGTCTTATGAGGCCTTCACCTTCAAGCTTTGTAGCCACAGTTTGTCTACTGTCAGAACATATGTTCTCCAGTGCTGACTTTATCTCAAGGTAATGTAAAAACACTGCTTTAGCAGCATCAGCCCTCGCACTCCAGCGAGTTTCTGAAAGGGATTTCACTACAATCACTTCAGCAGGTAGTGCAGCTTTCAAGTGATCCCATCTATATGTGGAGGCTGAGAAGAAGTTGTATAAGGCTTGCAAAAATCTGGAATATGAAACAGACCCAAGGCAACTGCTGGCAGCTGATGTTCCTACAAGGTTCAAGGAGTGACCTGCACAAGGGACATAATATGCCAGGGGATTCATAGCCTTTATTCTGGCTTGGAGACCAGTGTAAATGCCTGACATATTGGCAGCATTGTCATAACTCTGCCCTCTCATGTCACTCAAATCAAGACCAACATCTTTAATTAACTGTACAACAG